GATCGTCAAGGTAACCAGATGCGACGGCGCCTGAGAGGACGAGACGCCATCGTCGCATCCGATGATCCTCGAGGAACGATCGAATCTGCAATACGATTAGGCAGCAAGGTCGATTTCGCGATACGAAAACCGGGTTAGTTTGGCAATACTTTTTTTTCTCTAACGACGAATTTGCATTCACGTTTTTTTATTTAATCCTTGGGAATTAAATGGGGTACAATGGAGATGAAGCTCTGGAAAATTTATATTTTTATTTTATTAATCGCTATTGAGGTAATAGATGTCTGTAAGTACGATTCGTTTGCTATTGAGGGAAATGTAAAGATTGGTATTACGGAAATGACGTATTTAACATTTTTATATTTCTAGATCTTTTAATTTTGAAAAGTTATGTATTCATAAGTGTGTTCCGAAAATTTTTGAATTTGTAAATTTATAAATTTGGAAATTTGTCATTTGGAATGTTATAATTTATATTTTCCTTAAAGTTTTAAGCCTTTGAATTCGAAAATGGCTGAATTGATACATTTGAGAATTTATCATTTTTTTGTGAATTTGGAAACACTCAAACTTTTACAATTGAAATTTTGAAAATTTATAAACTTATATATTCCTAAATTGTAAAAGTTGTAAATTTGAAAACTTATGAACTTAAAAACACTTAAATTTAAAAAATTGCAAATTTGAAAATTTATGAACTTGAAAATGACTAAATTACAAAAATTGTAAACTTAAAAATTTATAAACTTGAAAATGCCTAAATTAAAAAAATTTGAAATTTGAACATTTTTACACTTGGAAACACACAAATTGAAAAAGTGAAAATTTGAGAATTTCAAAACGCTTAAATTGTCAAAATTGAAAATTTTTAACCTTCTGCATTTTGGAATTAGTAATTTCAGAGATTTCTAGATTAAAAAGTATTTAAGTTTCTAAATTTTAAAATATTATAACTTCGAAAATTTATAAATTTTTTTAAATGGTAGACATTTAAAGATTTAAATTCGTAAGTTTGAAGCTATATAAAATTAAAAATTTAGAAATTATAAATTATAAATTTAGGAATTTGAAGAACTGAAAAGAACAAATTTAAAATTCTCTGAAAATATAACAATTTGGGAATGTTCCAAGTTTCTTGAGAACATTAAAAATGATTAACTCCGTAAATTTCATTTGAAATTGCAATAATAGAAAACACTAAATTTCTAATTTCTAATTTAAAAATTTGTTGATTTCTAAACATAAGAACTAGCAAAAGGATATTTCTGTAGACCGACAATTATCACAAGTGCATCATATCATCTTCATTTAAAACCTACATATTTTATAAATGCAAAACTTCTGTAAAAAAATGATTTACGTTGTATAACCTCTTGACCGTACTACCTTGTTTATAATTCTTGTCTGCAGCAGTAACTGTTGCGACGCGTTAAAAAATCGAAAGAAATACAAGATTTCATGTTCATGAACCCAATATATATAACGGCAAACGCATCGCGTACCATAGTCAAATTGCAAATTTGAAAATTTATGAACTTGAAAATGACTAAATTACAAAAATTGTAAACTTAAAAATTTATAAACTTGAAAATGCCTAAATTAAAAAAATTTGAAATTTGAACATTTTTACACTTGGAAACACACAAATTGAAAAAGTGAAAATTTGAGAATTTCAAAACGCTTAAATTGTCAAAATTGAAAATTTTTAACCTTCTGCATTTTGGAATTAGTAATTTCAGAGATTTCTAGATTAAAAAGTATTTAAGTTTCTAAATTTTAAAATATTATAACTTCGAAAATTTATAAATTTTTTTAAATGGTAGACATTTAAAGATTTAAATTCGTAAGTTTGAAGCTATATAAAATTAAAAATTTAGAAATTATAAATTATAAATTTAGGAATTTGAAGAACTGAACACATAAGAACGAGAGCGTTCTTTGAAACGATGCTTTTAATACTTTATTTATACCCGCGAGAAAGTCCGCGCTCGCGTTTTCCGAGGCTCGCCTCTCGCCTCGTGATATCGCGTAATATTCAGGACAAAGAGACTTCTTCTCTGACTCTTGTACAGCGACGAATCAATTAAAATTAAATTTCTGACTCACTGACCATTTGAAATTCTGCACCGTACGTTGTTACAGTTTGCCAAAAACGCTATGACCTTGCTAGACATCGTCCCGCTTTGCACGTTCGCTAAAGGTATGAATGGTACATCAATTATA